AAAATTTAGTGCCAGGAAACATGCACTAAAAAAACATTAAATGAAGTTCTTAAGACACAAGTGAAATGAGATGGAGACATACAACATCAGAAAGGAAGGAAGAAGAAACTAAAAATATCTGGGTAAATATAATAGACTAGGGGTCAGCAAACTATAGTCCACATGCCAAATTTAGCTCACCATCTATTTTGATTAATATAATTTTATCAAAACACAGTTGCACTCATTTGGTTATGTATTGTCTTTAGCTGTTTTCACTCTATAAGCACAGAGTTGAATAATTGTGACAGACACTGTATAGTCTGCAAAGCCTAAAATATTTATTATCTGGCCCTCAGCAGAAAAAGTTTGCTGAATCCTGTAATAGGCTGTTATTTGCTTGAATTCTTTAAAATATATTTGTTGGTTGAAAACAAAGATACAGCATTGTTTGGGGTGTTGAAAGTATGTAAATGTAATATGTAAGATAACTACAAAGTAAAGGGAGGGTAAAGAGACCAATCTGAGGGTCAGCTTCCTACATTTCAATTGAAGTGGTCAAGTATTGGTTTTAAGCAGACTGAAAAATGAGCTATGTGATATCTTGAGCAACCAATAAGAAAACTTAGAAACAGATATTGTACAAAGGCAAAATAGATAAATTATTATATGAAAACTTGTTTAGGCAACCCAAAAGGCAAAAGGGCAAACAGTAGAGTGGTAAATAGATGGAACAAGCAAATCCTGATACATCAGTAATTACACTACATATACATCACGTAAGCAGACCCATTAAAAGATAGAGATTGTCAGAATGAATTAAGAAACCAGAAATGATCAGTGATTTCTATTTCTGTAAAGATAAAATAGACATGCTTCTCCCTATTCTTTCCCCTAATTATAACTAATAATCCTGAACATTTTATATACAAACAGAAGAGATTGAGATAACCAGACAGATTGGCTAGGGACCTTGGAACCCAAGGAAAGACATGCTATAAGTTACTTGAGTTTTCTTTTTGTCACATATATCCTAGACTAGGATGTTTTGCAGAAGGACCTGGCAGCCCAGAAATGTCAATAGGCCCAGAAATTTTTTAAAAGCCTCAACTAAAGCCTACCTTTTCTAACCAAAGGGTCAGCAAATGTCCAGCCTAAAAAGACGGAAACTCTCAGAAAACAATCACTCTACTCCAGTCAAAGACACCAAGAAAAAAACCATCAAAGCCCAAGAGGAGAATATAGATTTGCACTCTCATATTGCCATGATTCCCTCCATCTTCTGTCAGAGTATTGCTAGAGAAGAATGAGTAGGGACTTGGGACTTTCATCGCTGCTGGGTGTCAATTAGTTGCCCTCTGCCCCCAGCAGCTTCTGTAAAGATAATGTGGGAACCCAGTCTGCCACCTGTATCACACCCTAGCCTATCAACAATTACATTAAGCATAAATAGTGTAAACACACCAATGCAAAGAGATCATCAGAGAGCATTAGAACAAGCATGACTCAACTATGTATTATCTACAAGAAACTCAATTAAAAAAATAATATTGGCAGGTAGAAAATAAGATGGAAACATATTGTGTAAACATTAATCCAAAGAAAGTGAATGACTACATAAATATCAGATAAGTAGACTTCAGAGCAAAGAAAATTACCAGAGACAGAGAGAACCTTATGCAATGATAAGATGGTCAATCCACCAAGAAGACGTAGCAAACCTAAAAATTAAAATGTATGCACAAAACGGTAGCATGCAAATATTTAAAGCAAAAAGTGATAGAATTGAACGAAAAAACAGACACTTCCTCAATGATAGTGGAGGAATTAAACATCCTTCTCTCAACAAGTGATGGGAAAACCGGACAGAAAAACCACTAAGGATAGAGAACTTAACAATATCATCAACAAACAGAATGTAATTGACATTTATAGAACACTCCCACCAACCTCAGTAGAAGACATATTGTTTTCAGGTGCCCAGAGAACATATACAACAAGATAGACCACATCCTGGACTGTAAGACAAACTTTAACACATTAAAAGAATGGAAATTATACAGAGTGTGTTCACTGACTATAGGGGATTCAAGATAGAAATCAATAACAGAAAGATAATGTGAATGTCTGTGAACACCTGAAAACTAACCAACACATTTCTAAATACTGGTTTAAACAGGAGATCTCGAGAAATTTTTTAAATATAATGAACTGAGAGAAAATGAAATAAGATATATCAAATTTGTGGAACCCAGCTAAAGCAGTTATGAGAGGGAAAATTATAGCACTACATGCTGACATTAGAAAAAATGAAAAGTCTTAAATGCATAATCTGAACTTCCACTTCAAGAAACTTGGAAAAGGAGAGCAAAATAAATTCGTATTTAAAAATTCCTTGCATTAGGGATAGATGTATACATAAAGGGGAGTTTATTATGGAGTATTGGCTCACATGATCCCAAGATGTGGTCCCATGATAGGCAGTCTGCAAGCTAGGAGCAAGGAAGCCGGTCAGAATCCCAACGGTGAAGAACTGGAGTCTGATGTTCGAAGGCAGGAAGCATCCAGCATGGGAGGAAGATGTAGTTGAGAAGACTAAACCAGTCTTGTCTTTCCAATCCTTCTGTCTGCTTTTATTCTGGCCACGCTGGCAGCTGATTAAATTGTGTCCACCCAGATTGAGGGTGGGTCTGCCTTTCCCAGCCCGCCGACTCAAATGTTAATCTCCTTTGGCAACACCCTCACAGACATACCCAGGGACAATATTTTGCATCCTTCAATCCAATGAAGTTGACACTCAATATTAACAAGTCCACCCATTGTCAACTTGACCCCATACACATCTCCTAAAATCATCCATAATCTTCATATAAAGACAGTGATAAGGTCACAATTATGCCTAACATAATACAGGTTTCCTTTGTACAACCAGAAACGCACCAATCCCCAGCCCAAATGCTATTACATAAAGTGAACAACACTTAAATGCTGATATGAAGTCAGTAAATCTTATGTCACATGATAAAGGAAAAAGAAAGGAAATAAAATGAAGGTATTTTCTTAGTACAAGTGTATACATGCACAAACTTTTTTTTTTTTTTTTCCTGAGACAGAGTCTCACTCCATCACCAGGCACCAGGCTGGAATGCAGTGGTGCGACCTCAGCTCACTGCAACCTCCGCCTCCTGGGTTCAAGCAGGTCTCCTGCCTCAGCCTCCCGAGTAGCTGGGACTACAGACGTGCGCCACCATGCCCAGCTAATTTTTTTGTATTTTTAGTAGAGATGGGGTTTCACCATGTTGGCCAGGATGGTCTCGATCTCTCGACCTCGTGATCCGCCCACCTCGGACTCCCAAAGTGCTGGGATCACAGGTGTGAGCCACTGTGCCTGGCCTGTTCTTAACAAAATGAGGAGGAATCATTCTTGACAGTACAGTTCTGGTTTCTGCAACTGGATACATGGTCATAGCTGGTATTGGTGATTAACAACTAAAACATTCCTCTAAAGAAACCTCCACTGGGTACTCAATAGAGAATTCCACCAAATATTTGAAGAGGAATTAGGAATTAACATCTTTTTTGTACAATCTCTTTCAGAAAGTAGAGGAAGGGGGAAAACTTCCCAATTCATTTCATGATTTTATAAAGTCAGCATTACCCTGGTCTTCAAACCAGGTAAAGGCAGTACATACACTGAAAAAGAAAGAAGAGAAGAAAAGTATGATGGGAGAGTTTGAGAGTTCTGAGACTTGGCACCAAAAATACAATTCATAAAAGGAAAAATTACTAAGTTAGACTTTATCACAGTTAAAACTTTTGCTCTTCAAGAGACCATTTTAAGAGAATAATAGACTCCAGACTGGGAGCAAATATTTTTTGCACATTATGTGTTTAAGGACTACTCTGGTTTTTTTCTTCAACTACCATTGAGAAAGTGTCTGTTTTTTCTTTAATTTCTGACACTTTTTGCTTTGAATATTTTGTAGCTCTATCATTTTGTGCATACATTGCAGTTTTATTATGTGTGGTTTTCTTTGTATTTACTGCTTGGGGTTTGTTGTGTCTCTTGAAAAGTGTGACGTGATGTCTTTTGTCTGAGAAAATTCTTATGCTGTGTTTTGCCAGTTTCCAGTAATTAAAAACATGCTTTTATGGATGAATGAGGGCTGTGGGTCTTTTCTAAGGGAATTGACTGAGACATGTTTACTTTCCATATTCTGCATGTATCTTTTCATTTGCACAGTTGTAAGTATGAAAGCAAAACAGCAACTGTATTTGCCATTTCCCCTGTATTTCATACTAAATGATCACTACCTGGTTCTCATGCTCAGGATTCACTGATTATCATTTAATATATGCTGGACCAATTTTGCTATAAGTTTTACTTCCTAATTAAACATTTGTCAGGGTGAAGGCAGTGAGACATTGTCTTCCGACCTTTAAAATCTAAGGACATTGAATAGTGGGTAATATGGCAGTCTGCTGCTCTTCTATAAACACGAATCTCTTACTTTTTATTTCCTGGGCATAGTTTTCCAAGCACTTCCACGTGCTCTGTCTCACGTGACCTTATAATGTCCCTTTGAATTTGTCGAGCTTGGCTCCATTTTGCAGATGTTGTGTCTGAGGCAAAGAAACCAAATGATGGAATAAGGATCTAGAGGGGTAAATCTCATTTCACCCCATTCTGGAACTTTCCCTAGGATACTTCTGCTTCTGTCTTGGAGTGCCTATTGTATATCCTCCAGGTTATCTAAATGGTTCTATGCCATTCTAGTTCCAAAATACATCTGTCATGAACACAAGAAGTGACCCAGCAAGAAACAAGGCTGAGCTCCTCTATCCTCCTTCTGTGCTGTTCTGTCAACTGCATATAAGAGAGAAGAGGACATTGTTATCTGATTGGCAAAAGGAAGGAGTTGCATCTCCTTCCCAGGGGGGATGCTGCCTTGTAATGTCACAACAGACATTCCAACATGGTCCCTTTTATAAATTTGTTTGGTTGACTTCTTCTCTTGCAGCAGACTCAGAATTTGGGATGAATTGTCTGTGAATCCTATAAGGAGCCTGGAGGTGGTGAAGAGAATGCCAAGTGGCGTTTCCATAAGCCTTGACCATCAGGAGACAGCTTACCTTGTTGAATCTTGATCCTGTCTTCTGACCACTTTGCGTAGTAGAAGAACAAGGTAAGAGTGGGAACAAAATGGTGGGTGCTGAGGCACATGCTTGGAGGGCAAATACATGGAGACTATGAATAGAACGTTAGAGTCCCTGCCAAGATAAAGCAGACTTACATGGCACAGTCCTTACTTCAAGAATATTGATGGAGTTTTCAAGGCAGAACCGTGGGGGTGCAGGGAATACAACCATAAATCAGATAAAAATATCCTTTGTTTGCAGGGTGCCTACAGCCTTGTTGGCGGGGTGGGGCGGGGGTACAGTTAATAAACACAGTTGCAAAACTGCACACCAGGTTTCTCAATAGGAGAAGTATAGGTTGCAAATGGTGCACATAGGTCGTCCTAACCCAGTGTGAGAGGGTCGTAGAAGGAATTCTGGACTAGTGCTATCTAAGCTCAGCTCCAAAGGAGACTTGGACCCTAGTTAGGGGAGTAGATGTGGGGGTGGAACAGAGGGAAAAGCAGGTGCAAGAAAAGCATGATGTTTCAAAAGAACTAAAGATACTGCAGTGTGATGTGATTTCAGCTATAACTTTAGCATACAGGATGGGGAAAAAAACTTCTCTAGGCAAAACCTAGTATTATTTTGATAAACTATGCTCAAGTGCATTACCTGAAATTCATAGCATCTGCATGAATGGACCTGCTGCCTTCCCTTTACTAGTGTGCTCAGGTAGGAACCCCAGCTGCATATAGAGGCAAGAAAGGACAGGTTAATGCAGACTTCTGCATTTAATGCATTGAGTGGCAAAATGTGACTCAGCCCCACTCACTGAAGCAGACAGCGCCCTCAAGTGGAAATGAGGATGAGTGATCCTTTTGGGCCTCACTAGCCCCAACTTGTATATGCAGTAAATATGCTTTTTTTTTTTTTTTTTTTTTTTTTTTTTTTTGCCATTTCCCTGTGAAACTGCAGTCAGCTGATGGTCAGCAAAGTCTGCTGAAATTCTGAAACCAAATAATGTAAGGAGTGTTCTCATTTCTATGAAGAACTGACTTGTTTTATTATCTAAATTTGAATCCAAGCAAGTTACCAGGTTGAGAAAAATTATAAAAGACAACAGAAAAGAGGATGAGAAATAATAAAAAAGGAAAATGTTTTGTCATTTCTCTTTCAATTCCACCTCCAGAACATTAGTTTAACTTTGGCTAGTGGAAGGGAGTTAGTAAGTGGATCTGCTGATTTAAACAGTGTTAACAGTGGAAAGTTGATTTCTTCTCAATTTCTCTACCTACACATTGGGCAGTAGCTCAGGAACATAACTTTGACATGCTACCAAGTGTGCATTCGGCCTGGGCGCTCATGTGTTTGGGATCAAGACAGAATAAGGAGGTGTGTGTTAGAGAAAAGATGAGTGTGTCTTACGTTGTAATGTCCCAGGACCTGGGCTGCTCTCGTATTTGCCCAGTTTCATCTCCTATGCTAGGAGAAAAATTGGTGTCTTTTGCCAAAATGCGTTGTAATTTTGAGGTTATTCAATTTCATTTAGTTACTTTATAAATATTTCAAGATTTAAGAATATGCTCATTGGAATTAAAATGCTTTCAGTGACACAAGATGCTGAAATAGAGTAGCTACTCTTTGTCTCTAAATAAGAAGGCAAGCGCGGTGGCTCACGCCTGTAATCCCAGCACTTTGGGAGGCCGAGGCGGGTGGATCACGAGGTCAAGAGATCGAGACCATCCTGGTCAACATGGTGAAACCCCGTCTCTACTAAAAATACAAAAAATTAGCTGGGCATGGTGGCGCATGCCTGTAATCCCAGCTACTCAGGAGGCTGAGGCAGGAGAATTGCCTGAACCCAGGAGGCGGAGGTTGCGGTGAGCCGAGATCGCGCCATTGCATTCCAGCCTGGGTAACAAGAGCGAAAAGAAGGCAAGTTTGCGGAAATGACCTGTGTTACTCCTCACAGTCCCCTAGGTGGTGCTGCTGTGACACCTATTGGCTAGACAGTTTTTTTTTTTTTTTTTTTTAGCACTTAACTATCAAACCAATATTTAACTTATTAAATGTCTTATACTTATGGTTAATTGCTAATATAATACTATTGACAATTTATACCATCACATTTACATTAGATTCTCCTAATAATGAGCCTATATTTATAAATTACACAACACAATAATTTTAAGGATTGGAATAAATGTAGTTCCCTGGTTATTATTTAATAGAGTCAAAAACTTTTATATGTGGCCAAATTTTTCCACACCCATTAAAAGTAACTATATAATTAGCTCTCCCTTACCTCTGCTTGCATTGGGTAAAATGGTACTTCGAACACAGTAGGAGCCAAATTAATGTTTATCAAAGGACTTAATTCTTTTCTGAGTTTCTCTTTCCACTATTCATTGAAGATGAGATAATTACTGGATTAAGTTTTTTAAAACCCTAGTCAGACATTGCTGCCTATCTTGGCTAGTAAAAAGAAAGAGGGGTCATCTTTTCTTTATTCCTGAACATGGCCTGAAGAATACATATAAAATCACTTTATTTTAAAAGCAAATTGGTTTTTGAGGTTGGTTCCATTGAAGTGCAAGAATGGTATGAAAAAGTGTGTTTGATAATTGCTCAAATCTTTATCAAGATTTTATTAAAATCAATATTTGATATGCTGCTCAATTTAATTAAATTAAACCACAGAGAAATGAGGAATAAATGAGCTTGAAAATCATAAATGAGCTTGGAAATCATAAATGAGCTTGGAAATCAATCACAGGATAAAGTATGTTTCTTTTTGTTAGTTTAACGCCGGAAATGTTGGGTTAAGCAATTGCTGACCACGAGGGAAACAAACAAAATCACTGCGCTGGTTTATGCAATATGAGCCCATTTTTCGTGCCAGGCACTGTACTAAACATAGTCTACGTGTGTCTTAATTAATTTTGAAGCAAAATCCTGTGAGGTCGGTCTCCTCCATTTACAATTCAGGACCAAGTGTGAGCCAGGATGGCCCTTCCAAGTCATTCCATTGATAAATGGCAGACTTAGTTGTAAATATAATGACCAAGCCTTTCCTACTGCTCACATTGTTCACAAACAGGAGGAGAGAGCACAGTTGATGATTAAGTTTAGAGAAGGGCATTGGTGGTAATTTTCTTCCCCCCAAAAAGTGTAGCTTTATAGGTAAGTAGTTAGAGGGGGCAAGGGACCGAAATTAAAAAGCATGAGAGTTGACTTAGAAGCTCCAAGTCCCAAAGACTGCAAAAAATCAGGATGGGGGGAGGTGTTATTTTTCTGGATAGACATAGAATAGAGTTATTTGCCGTATAATTTATGCTTATTGAGAGCGGCAGAGGTTTATGGCTTCAGTAACAAAGTGTTTTAATTGGGATTAGCTAATGAAAAAGTGGTGGAACTGGCAAGGGTGAAGGTAGGAAAATGTGATTTGAGTTGAGGTGTTTCTTCTCATGGGATGCTAACAAAAGGGTTAGTGTTACGCACAGGGGCAAGAATCATACTTTTAATTAGGCCTTCAGAGTTTGTGCCTGCGTTCTTGGTTCTAAGGAGTCTTCGTCACCCAAAGAATCAACTCTAGGAAACTAGCAAAATTCTTGTTAAATACCACTGGCAGTGAGAATGAAACGGCAGCTTCCTAAAAAAAAATCTCCCTCATTTGTATTCTTTGCTTGTGTGGTGGGATGGAAATTAAAAATCAACAGCAATCACAACCACGCAACTGTGTAGCTTCCCTACTCCAGGCTGAGAAGAACTTGGTTTTCAAGCCATACTGCTTTCTAAACTTTGGTCATTCATGTTTCACGTTTACAGTTTTTACTATGTCCCTGTACCTCTTGTATTACTTAACATTTTCATTAAAAATGGCTCATTAAAAAAATTAAAATTAAGTACTTTTTTTTAGAAAAAATACGTAAGTGGGAAACTAGAGTCACTTGCCCTGAGAAGAGTATTTGTGAAAAGAAAGAATAAAATCAAAACACTGTTGTTGAATTTTAACTTCAGGAAAGTGTCCAGAGGTCTTAAAGACATACTTTCACCACACTGAGACTTCTTCTGTGATCATAACTGAGTGATTAAAAAAAGACTTGAAAGGGAATAGTTATCTCATTATGTGAATCAGTTTTTATCCAAAAAAAATCTATATACCACCTAAGATTATGTTTTCTAATCAAAGCTTCATCCTCCAAGCATGTCTTTGTCTGCTAGTCACTGGAATCTCTCAGCCCTCACTTTTTTAACTCTCTAACTTCCCCCCAGTGATATTTAAACCTTGCTTTCTTTCCATCTAATTCCATTTACCTTATGTCTAAACATTTAGAGAATCCTGTTAAGATTGGAGTTGGGGGCAGATTACAAAATGAGTTTCTGTTGTTGGTTAACACAACTTTTCTTCATATATGCTGTTTGAGATCATGTTTTCTCTGATAAGATACGATACATTTCCAACTGTGATAAAAGTATGTTTCTTTTCTTCCCTTTTTTTTTTTGAAACGGAGTCTTAATCTATTGCTCAGGCTGGAGTACAGTGGCACGATCTTGGCTTACTGCAACCTCTGCCTCCTGGGTTCAAGCAATTCTCCTGCCTTAGCCTCCTGAGTAGTTGGGACTACAGGTGTGCGCCACCATGACCAGCTAATTTTTGTGTTTTTAGTAGAGATGGGGTTTGACCTTGTTGGTTAGGCTGGTCTCGAACTCCTGACCTCGTGATCCTCCCACCTCTGTCTACCAAAGTGCTGGGATTACAGGTGGGAGCCACTGTGTCCCTGCCACCCATACCCTTCTTAAGGCAACAACTGCTGGCTGTCATCCTGTTTTATATGTTCTTCCAGAGATAGTTTGTGTATGTGCAAGTCTACTAGAATCTATACTACTCTCCTTACATTAATTTATTTTATTTGGGCTCAAGGGTACATGTGCACGTCCTGTATCCTCAGGATTGTTGCATAGGTACATACATGCCATGGTGGTTTGCTGTCTCCATCCCCCACCCTGCCCCTGTCGCCAGATCAGGCATTTCTCCTGGTGTTATCCCTCCCCGTTCTCCCTGCCCTCCTGCTGTCCCCCCATCTCCACCACCCCCCCATCTGACCCTGTGAGTGTTGTTCCCTACCCTGTGCCCAGGTGCTCTCATTGTTCATCACCTGCCTATGAGTGAAAACGTAGTGTTTGGTTTCCTGTTGTGTCAGTTTGCTGCGAATGATGGTTTCTAGGTTCATCCATGTCTCTACAAAGGACATGAAAACTCATTGTTTTTTATGGCTGCATAGTATTCCATGATGTATATGTGCCACATTTTTTTTTGTCTGGTCTATCATCGATGGGCATTTGGTTTGGTTCTAAGTCTCTGCTATTGTGCACAGTGCTGCAATGAACATATGTGTGCATGTGTCTTTATGATAGAACGATTTATAATCCTTTGGGTATATACCCAGTAATGGGATTGCTGGGTCAAATGGAATTTCTATTTCTAGATCCTTGAGGAATCACCATGCTGTCTTCCATAATGGCTGAACTAATTTACACTCCCACCAACAGTGTAAAAGTGTTCGTATTTCTCCACATCCTCTCCAGCATCTGTTGTCTCCAGATTTTTTAGTGATTGCCATTCTAACTGGCTTGAGATGGACTCTCCTTAAATTTCACACACAGAAGCACACTCTACATGTCATGCTACACTTCATTTTTTTTAAACACAACAATGTTTTAGTATATAGTTTTATATTAGTATATGTTGTCTTAGTCTTTTGTTTTGAGTACTGTATAGAGGTACTCTATGCATGTACTCAATTCTCCTTTGATGGACACTTGATTATTACTTTTTCCTCCACAAACAATGCTGGAATATCCTTGTATGATTATCTTTGGGCTTGTAATGATCATTAAGAAATAAATACATCTAATGCTGAAGAGTACTCACTCAAATGGATGATGGAATTCTAATTATTAGAACAGGAGAGGACAGACAGTCACATTTCTTTCATGAGTTCTTGTTTTCTTTTCCTTTTTTTCACCTGCAATATAAATTCGTATTTGTTGCGGCGCCCTGCACATGACCAAGCATCCTGATTTGCACATGAAGTTG